TACACATAATCATCAACCATCAATCTCATTACTCACAAGTCATAAAGTCTCAACAAAGCCACATGCATTACAAACAATCATTTCAAAATTTAAACATATATATATATATATATATATATTCTTTTATTTCACCAACATAATGAATTCAGTAACATACAAATGCATAAAATAGATTTCCCTCAGTTACCTCAACAGTTGAAGGTCAAAGATTACCCCTCAAGTTACAACACTGCCAAAGCTTTCCAAAGCTTGAATGGTGTTAAAAAGAAATTAATCTACAATTGATCATATCCCAATGTGTCAATAATATTATTAACACAATTTTCACTCATACTCTAATACCTAAATATTTATTTTATTTTATTTCATTTTATTTTTAAGACCTTAGTCTTAGCCTCTTGAGTTCTAAAATTTAATTTCATGTATTTGAATCTATCTACTTGGTTCAATAGTCTCCTTCACAATAATTTAATTCAAATAATTTTCTAATATCAAAATTTTCCTTTTTATTCCAAAAATTCGCACATAAAAATATTCAAAAATTATAAACTTGATTTCAAGCCTAGAATCATTATTCTATAGCTATAATAATTTATTTCTCATCTCAAATAATCATCTAAATATCAACAAATTAATTTATATTTTTGAATTTAACCAAAAATCTACCCATAGGGATCTATGGATAAACTCAAATGCCTCAAATTTTAATTTTATCAACAAAATAATACTCTAGAATATTTATTATACTACCAGCAACCTCAACAATCAGATTTTCTCACTAAAAATTCATCCCTCTTTCAAACCTTAGATTTTCCAAAATCTCAAAATCTGCAGTCTCAGGGGAAAAAATGACTAAAAAAATATTTAGAACACTTACCTAGTCTTAGAATACTTAAAATCTCATCTGAAGTATCTTACTATGAAGCTTTACCTTCTAAACCGTTCCTATCGCCAGCGACGCTCTCGCTCATTTCTTCTTTTCTTTTTGAACTTCTCTGTTGCGTGCACGAAGAGATGAGGAAGAGATCAGGAGAAATGAAAAAGGCTTGTGTGTTTTAAAATGGGTGTGGATCCCATGGCAATAATTCACACCACTCTTCCGCCTCCCATCTCCTTTTCTTTCTCTCTCTTTTTTTATATTACACTACACACACACACCAACGTCTATATTCCTTCTCCTTTCCTCTTTTTTTTTAATATAATATTACACACTACACACACGCACAAACGGATGAAGTCCGTTCCCAATTTTTTTTATTTCATTTATATCCTTTTTCTCTTTTAATGATAATGATAATAATTCTATTTTCTAAAAATCATAATTTAGAATTTGAATTTATGCTAAATTAAATCCAATAATAATCTCCTAACTAAAATTATTTATATCTAAATATTCCTCCAAAATTACTCATTTACTCTAAATTAACTAAATTAACCTTAGGTTAATTTTTGGGATGTTACAAAATCACATTACCAGACCTTTCCTAAAACATGAAGACCACATAATGAAATGCCTAAGTTTAACAATAAGGGTCACAAGCAAATGTCAAATTAGTTGACACATTATAATCAATTCCTAAGTTAAAAAATTATGCATTCAATTACACTACAAGCATATTAGTGACTTTACAACAACGAGTTCTAGTTCTTGGCCTCAGAGGCTTCTCCTTTTTCTTTCACCTTTTTGTCCCATAGCAAAAATGTTAACAAATAAGAATGAGATTATGCAATCTCAACAACTAAGACACATAAATTCAAGCACATAACAATGTGGCAAATACAAGCACATAAGGCAATGAATCACAATTAATATACTTTCAATGTTCAACATATATCATAAGACTATTTGTCATTAATCACAAGGCATAAATGAAATGATAATAATTATGTATGATCATATGCATTCCATCTTTATTCCTCTCCTTATATCTTCCAGCTGAATCTTTAGGCTATCAAATCATGTAAGACTAACTCGTGTGATCAGATTAGGCTCGCTCTCCAATTATAGGGGATTACTCGGCCAAGTTACCCACTTCCTACTCTCGAACCATGGATTTCCCCTTCTTGAATACCAGAATGTCAAAGTTTCCATGACCCACGCCATCCTTAATAGGAAACTAGTGATCCCAAGCATGCGTGCTCACATATGCCATACCTAAGGGAAAATAAACATAAACACACTATAATTAAATATGCCGATTATTGTGCGCAAATCTCGATGGAAGCTAGACCACATGGATTTTTTGTAATGCCCTTTCTCACTTGGGTGAACTCCCACCCATCCATGACCATGCAAAATGCTCATGTTACTCAATGACATTCCATACTTGCAAACTTAATTAATTTATCTCATAATCAAGCACATATTATTAAGACAACGATAAAATAAAAAATATTTAATTTCTATGTCAATATCATAAAATCATGCTCAAGTACATAGCATCATCATGTACTTTAACAACTTTGTTCATGCAAAAGATCACCCCATCAAGTCATGTATTCATACTCAAATCTCAGCATTATGCACTAAACATTTAATCACTTAGTCACATGTCCAAATATTCTTTCATATACTCATAAATTCACATGCCCAAAATTGATACTCATAAAGATTTCAATAGCTAAAATGCCATAATATCATCATTCTCATCAATTACATTGAAATTCATTAAATCATGCGAAAAACTCATGCTAAATCAAACCTTCTATTTCATCATCAACAAACTCATAAACACTTATTGTTTAATTCTAAACATTCAATAACTATACGATTACATATTCATTTCATCAAATTTATCACCATAAAAAACATACAACTCATAATTATAAACAATTACTATCTACAAGAATTTAACTCCCGATTGCCTTAACTCTTACGTTACCACCCTTAGAGTACACCTTGGATTTCAAGAGAACTCTCAAGCAATCAATGAGCTCCAAGAGTAGTCAAATCTACCATTAGAATCATTAAACCTCATTAGTGGATAATCATAATTAATTAGCCCTTAATCATGATTAAAGCCTAATACCCCCATTAAGCATGATTAAGCAAAATCAATCCCACAACTTACTTCCATTAACTTATTTAACTTTTATTAAACTTAATTACCACTACTAGCTAACCTCATGAGCTTAATCTAACCTAAAATAACTTAAGGTTTCAGATTTAAGCATCCCCATATGATAAATATCATTAAAACAATTAAAATAATACTTATTTAACTTCAAATAAGCCTTATAATTCAGACCAAGGGCTGGGCTTCCTTAAAAAAAAATCTTAACATAATCTCTACAAAACCTTGCTTAAAGAGGGGTTTAGAAGGTAGAAATGAGATTAAGGAAGTTACCTTGGGTAATTAGGGGATGAAAATTGTGCCTTAATGATGGGAAATTGAAAACCCTAGCAAAGCCTCATATTTTTGAGCCTAAACATTCAATTTTCACCTACTTACAAGTTTTGTTTTGATCAAAAATTAAAATATCAAAAATATGCTGTTCGCCACGGCCAAAACTGTAGTTCATCACAGCCAACTTATAATTTCATTAACTCAACTTTAAAAAATCATAATTAACTTCACACATCTCCAAAAATTATGAATTAGGGCTCAATAGAAAGTTTGAAATTTCTACTATCTAATGTAAAAAGAATTACTCAAAACTATTATTATTTACCTCTTGAAAATCCTTAATTACTAAGGCAGCTCATTTTTACCTTCTTCCAAGCCCTAATTGATTATAAAAATCATTTTTCAATGTATATAAATACCCTTAAAACTCTCTTAAAATATTATTAACTCAAAAGGTAAGATTTTGGGATATTACAATTGCCACTCACGATATAAGTTCTATTTGTAAAATGTGCATATTTTTATTTCTAACCCATGTGAAAATTAATTTTTCCCCCTCACTTTCTTGTAATTTTTTATTCTCCCCATGTATCAATTTCTAGATCCATTCTTGCCCTTGATGCAAGAATTTACCTCAATTAATAAATAGTTATTAAAAGTATAAAATTAAATAATTAAAATATAAAATATGACCATAATTTGATTTAAATATATTTTAAATATAAATCATTAAAATTAAATTTATCTACATTGATAAATTATCATACTCGACATAAAAATTTTAAAGGAGGGCAACTTATTTTTTTATACTTCTTGTTTTCTTTTTTTATTAATATTAATTTTTTCTTTTGAGTTTTATTTTTCTTTGAACCAAGTCCTACCACTTCTAAGAACTAAGCATTACACAGTATATACCTAACTTGTTCAACTCGATAAAAAATCAATGAGTTTAACAAGTTTAATTGAGTTTGCATGAGTTTATGAGCGAGTTGATATGATTGTATAAGCTAGAAGTGTAAAAATAATAAATTCAAAGAGTCAACTTGTAAGTTTAACCAAATTTATATATAATCTAAATTAATAAGTGATTTGACATAATTTTATAAGCTAAAAATGTAAGAATGGTAAATCTGAAGAGTGAATTCAAAAGTCTGACAACAATACTTTTAACTAAATGACACTTTCAATGAGTTAATTAATTGCCTTCAAAATTATACACTCTTTCTATGTTTAACCTTATTTAATAGGGTGTCTTGATTAGAAAATCTCATAAATTACACCCTAATTAAGAGCATTTTTTATAAAATCTTATTAATTTTACCTTAAAAAAATTAAAATATCTTATATTTTTAAATACAGTACTTCAAAAAATGTCTTGTAATATAGATGGGAGGGAGTTTTTTTTTTTCCTTGGCCTTGACTGGTTTTATGGCTTGAGCTCGGGCAAAATTTTATATTTAATCAGTTCAATTTGAATTTTTGATAGGTGGTGCTAAAGAAAATCATAGTTCTGGCCCAACAACTATTCCAATTACGATGCCCATATAAGTTTTCTACCATACGAGGCCCAAATAAGTTGGGCCAAGAGAGAAGCCAATGTGGGACAAATAATCAGGGCTCGGCTTAAATGACCTTGGTTGCAAGCAAGCCCACATGATCACACTTAACAAACAACACGAGAAAGGTATTCTTTATTAACCTATTAACCTATAAGAAATTCAAAAAAAAAAAAAAAACAATCAAACACCTCTATATAAAATTCATATCAATCAAGAATAAGTTATTATTAAAACTCAAGTGATCTATTATTAATTTAAATTAATTGTTAAAATTAAATAAAACTTATTGATAAAAAATTAACTTCAATTTGTAATATCCATTTGAATTTTGATAACAATTAATGCTTGACTACTATAAATTTTATACAAAAATCTTTGATTGTTTTCAAAAAGAAAAAAATTGGACAACTCAGCTGTAACACTGAAATCATGTTTATTTTATTAGAGTGAACTCGGTGAGTCAAAAAAAGTGGAAAAATAATTCATATTAAATAAATTTAATTTCCAAAAAAAAAAGTAGTATATAAATAAAAAGTAAACATGTGCCTAATTTATTAAAAAAATTATCAATTATTTAGGTTTCTCCATACATTTCAATCAATAATAGCAGTTCAAATTTTATGAATAAAAAAATTACAATAAAAAGCTACTGTTAATTAGAAATAATAAGTCTTTTGATTTATTCACGTAGTGTTGATATTAGATAATGGGAGGATTACATATAAAACACCTACAAAGAAATTAATTACTTACAATTCTCGGTTGCTTAAAAATATTAAAGTTTACTATGTAAATAAAAAAGTTTGATTTATAATTAAATTTAAGAAATAATTAATTTTCTTATTCAAAATCTGAGATTAATTCTCCCTTAAATAACTGTAGTACTGTAGGGCGAAAAAAGACAATTAATCTCCAAAAAAAAAAAAATTCAAGGGATCCCTCCCGACTCCCAAGTGGCGAAGTCAAAATCAACCGAAAACCAGGAACGACGACGTTTGGTGAAGCTTTTATCGGACGCGCCGGCCACTCGCCCACTTGGTGGACGGTGATAAGAAGAAAGCCACCGACCAACACACGCTTCAAATGCGCCCTATATCAGTCCCTCGCCTTGCCTTCAGCTTCTCCTCATTCGACAATGGCTTCAATGGCGTCTTCTAGAGCTTTCGGTTCCCTCAAGATTTTCAGCAAAACCAGCAACAATAACTTCTCCTCTCTTCCCCGTATACAACTCTGTCAGAAAAATCACGACGACATGCCTCCGGAGCAAATTAAACGCAGGTCAGAAGTCTTCTTCAACAATTTCATTCATCTTTTATGTTCTGGGATTGAAATTTATCATGGCTCTCACATTTTAAACAGGGACCTAATTCTCAAGAGTAGCGAAATAGCCACCATTGGTGCCATTTTCAATTTCAGGTCCGCATCTGGTTTTCTCTTCCCTATTTTTCTTCTCGTGTTAATCGATGGGATTGGCGATTCAAGCACATATTGGGAACATCTTGGATTTTTTTAATTGAAAATGAGACAATTTTTGCTTGGATTTTTCTTCCTAGCCAGTGGGAAAAAACCTGATTACCTTGGAGTCCAGAAGAATCCACCGGCGCTGGCTCTGTGTCCGGCGACAAAGAACTGCGTATCGACATCGGAGAATGTTAGTGATCTTACCCATTATGCCCCACCTTGGTAAAGCTTCCTTTCTTCTTATTTGAATTCTGGTTTATGAGATTCTGTGAATTAGTTATCATTGAAGATCTGAAATCAACTCTCACTCCTAGTTTAGATTTTCAATTTGTTGTTGGAAATGGCATTCCTGGGAGGGTCATCTGCAATCTGAGAAACGTCTGAATCAAATAAACCAGAAAAGAGATCAGAGAAAATATAACGGTCTACGTTTCATTTGAATCACGTTGGAATATAATTTATCACATTTGAAATTGGAAACGTGAAACAAGTGCGTTTCTAGTAGTTGGTTTGTGGGGCATTGGCTTTTATACATGTGAAATGAAAGCAATCTTTGGATGTTATCTTTGCGATGCTTTTAATTTGTTGACATTCTCTGACTTTGTCAGTCTGCCAAAAGATCACTTGACCAAGTCATTCATTCATGAATAAATATGTTGCGCATCTTCATCATGGTTTTGGTTTTCTTAAATTTTTTATAGGCCACATTATTAACACATCAGTATCATATCAATATAAAATGTTAAATCTACATGGACCATGTTTTTCATAAATTATGGATTATACAATTTCTCTCAAGCTTTGTTTAGTTCCTCATCTTTTTCTTTTTTCACTTTTTCTCAACACATCTTACTGAGCCCAGCAATATCCTTTTTTATAATTCCAGCTTTTTTAACCCATTTCAACAAGGTTTAGTATATTCCGAACATCTACTTCTACAACAGTAGATATACATAGAATATTCAAAGAGACTTAAAAACAGTATAAAAAAGTGATAAATATAACGAAGATAAAATGTGGGCCTTACATATAATTATATTCTGTTGTGTTATTATTATATTTCTGACTCTTACAGGAACTATAACTCTGAAGGTAGGAAAAAGCCTGTGAGCAGAGAAGAGGCAATGGAGGAACTAATAGACGTGGCAAGTCTAAATTATGATCCAAGTCTCCCCAATAGATTATATCTTTCAAATTTGTACTATGATAAAGACTTAGTAGCATGGGATATCTAATACCACATTGAGTAGTAAAGTATTTAAGTATTTAAGTTGATTGGTTCCTCCACTTCAATAGTTAGCTTTTAGGCACAGGCGTTAAGACACCAGCTTTCCATGAGAGGCCCATTGAAAGAGATTTGGTATCTTGGGATGTCAAGCCCTACATTGAGCAATATGAGGTATTTAAGTGAACCAATTCTCTTTCCCTCAATAGTTAGCTTTTGAAATAGGGACCATGGCACTTAGATACCAAGTCTCCATCAATTGGCCTCATGAAAAGCCGCCAAGGATGTCCTCGCGACTGCACTCCATGGCACTTAGCTCAGCTTTCTATTGGTCAATATCCTATACTATCAAGTTTTCATCATATTATCTCCTGCTCTTTAAAGTGAAGCTTGGTGGTCTCATCTGGATAATTTTACAGATAGAAACAACTCAAGCTGATAGATTTACACCACGAATTGCAGAAAGGAAAGAAGACTATATTCGCGTTGAATATCAATGCCCAATCTTTGGGGTATGTGTTACGTTAAGATTTTTCATGAGCTTGTTCATTGATCTTATTAACTCCATGGCAAAACCAGTCCATGTGATTTGTTTATTTATTTATCATGATCTATCAGTTTGTGGATGATGTTGAGTTCTGGTTTCGACCTGGGAAGAACTCAATTGTGGAGTATAGGTCTGCGTCAAGGCTGGGAAATTTTGATTTTGATGCAAATAGAAAGAGAATCAAGGTAACAGAGCAATAGTTTCAATCTTTGTTGTGGTTTTGGTCTGCTTGTATTGATGGTGGTTTGATTGAAACTTGAAAGCATGTTTTTGGGTTAATAACAGGCATTGCGCCAAGAATTGGAGAAGAAAGGATGGGCTTCTCAAGACACAATATGAGGAAAATCTTCTGCAGAGAATATAAAGCCGTGACAACAGCTTTATTAAATTTAATTTGCAGCTGTTTTTGTATTTTTTAAGTTAAAAAAAAAATCATATCCTTGAATAACATCAAAGCCAGCCTAGAAAGTAAAATCATTCTGGTGTAATTCATTGCTTCTCAATGTGGTTAGAAGATATATTTTGCCTTATATTTGAATTTCAACCAATTCGGGTAATTATTGTCTGTACAATACGTGGATGTTTCAACTCTTGAAGGTAGGAGAATTTGAAGACATCCAAGTGTTTTTGGTAAGAAAAAGAGGCCCAAGGCCTACAACTCACGCCACGTATACTTTTAAATGGTTTAAATGAGGTTGCTTGTCAAGTAAAAGAAATTGTTTTCTAAAATAAAATCAACCAGTAAATCAATAGAAATGCTGGTTTGAAATTAATGAATTTAATTAAGATTTAGTTGTGATTAAATTGATTGTACTTGAATTATTATATTTTAATTATATATGTAAAAGTATTTGGGAAAATTATGTATAGATTCTGTGAAGCAAATTTATTTACAAATAAGTCCCACAAAATTTAAAAACTATAACCATATTCCTTAAAATTTAAATGTAATTTAAAATTGAAATTAAAAAGATAATAATGTCTATGTTAAAAATACATTACATCAATTAAATAATTTACAATTATCATTTTAACTTTTTACAACTTCATATATTTAATAGTTAAATCAATTATGTATTATTAAAAAATTTAACCTTAATTATTTACAAATGTTTTATCAATAATTTATAACTATCACTTTAATTTTTTATAATTATAACTTTACATATTTAATAATTAAACCAACTATATATTACCAACAAAATTTAACATTAATTATTTACAACTACTTCATTATTAATTTACAACTATTATATTAATTTTTTATCATTATGACTTTATATATCCAATAGTTAAACAAATTTAATTATTTGATGTAAAAAATTGACATTATAATTATAAAAAGTTGGAATTATGGTCGTAAATTATAAATGAAGTGATTGTAAATTATTTGATTGATATAATATATTTTTATTAGAAGCATTATTATCTCTACACTTTAATTTTTAATTACATTCAAGTCTCAAAAGGCTTAGTTATAGTTTTTAAATTTTGAAAAACTCACTTATAAATAAGTTTATTTCACAGGATCTATATGTAACTTCTTCAAAATATTTTATCAAAAAAAATTCTTTTTCTAGCTGAAAAATAAATAATTTTGAATTGATTTCAAATTTTTTTTTTTGGGGGCAAAGTTTACCATGGACAATCTTTGAGGTACTCTACACCATGCTAGAATTCAATTCAAGCGTCAAAACTATTGACAGAAATTTCTTTCAAAAAATCCAATCATGCAAGGCTGCAAAACAATTTCACTTGATTTTTAATTGAAAATCTTATAGTAATAAACACCTAAGATCCATACTTACGGGCAAAGAGTTCCACAGTAATCTCCATTTGTGCTCATGCTGAATGGTCATGTATTATTTGATCTCAAATCAACATCCATGTTTTCTAGGCTTTCATCTTCAACTACATCAAGCACCGGTGGTTCAACATTCAATTGAACATCAGACTCTATTGTATCAGAAATAACTGTGGACTTACCATTGACCATATTCTGATGTGTACAATGCTTTGAAGTCTCCGTTGGGGATGCACAAACGGCATCGTTTTTGGAAGATATCTTACTCCCCCCAAGAGTTAGAGCTCTCTCATTGTCTATTGGCAGAACATTACTCAAAACAGCCTCATCAACAGAGTGCAAACCTGGTGGGACTGGGGAAATACAAATCGATGACGGGTCAACGTCCATGTCAGCAGATAACATGTCTTCTCCGGCTCCCATAACCTGATCACCAAAACCGCCATTTACTAATCCTGCAGCTTCACTTCCACATGCAGAACCGTCACCTTCGCAAGTTGAGGCATCGTTTCTATGGCATATCTGACCCAATGGCGTTTCTGAACTGGATGTTTGTTGATTGGTGTGATCAATAGTCTGTGTCTCAATAGGATCCTCAACATTCTGGCGACTTTCTGAATCAAGCAGTGCATTTAATTGCTTCTGAACAGAAACTGCCAACGATACAGCATGATCACGAATCAAAGAATCAGAGGGCGGGCAGTGCAGCATGTCAATCAATGCCCGGTGGTACTGGAATAAGCTGATAGATGGAAGAATGGACCTTTTCTTCTGACAGACACTAATAACTTTTAGAATGTGCTCACACAGGTTGCCTTCCTGTGCCCAATTACAGTCACAAATTCCAAACATAGAACCCGGATTCCAGACGACATAAACTTCATCTTGATCAAGTTGATCAACAACCTTAGCGCATCCATCTACCATGACAACATCAGAATCCGCTATCTTCAGTGATTTGCGCCACGATGTTAACCCACTTGCCCATTCATTTTTCCAATACCGTGCAAAATCATCTTTTCCTGTATACTCATCAAGCCAAAAATAAGAATGAACCTTAGTACCCAACTTGTCAACTAACCAATCAGCACGCTGATAAACGCTGACGTTTTTCTCATTCAACAGTCTAATCTTCAGCTGGTTGTGGTAAAATTCTATTGCTGCACAAGTCTCCTGGCTGGCAAGAGGAAGAGTTTTTAGCGCACTGGTCCACCTCCCTGGGTCAAACATACCAAAAAGGTCATTATGCAACTTAAAGTAATATCAAAGTCATATGCTTTTCTCCTAAAAATAAAATCAAAATTGTCTTATTCATTTGACAGCCACAAAATTGGCAGACCAATTCTCCCAAATTACCAGCAAAAGTAATGTCTTTAAGCACAAAGTAACAGCAAGAACCATTTGAAAGAGTTTTTCCTTTCTTTAGGGCCCGAACTGAAAGAGCTAATTTGATGTCCAAAATATTTAAAGGTTATAGTGGAACCGTAAATTTCAAACTCCAGGTTCAAAATATTCAAAGGTTTTGGGAAAACTAATTCTGGGCACTAGCTATTATTATCAGCAATAAATATTATTCATCAAGATATAGTCACATCTCTGATTATCAGTACAATCTTACTGTCACTAACTCAAAATCATTGTTGAATAATAGATATCACATGCTAATATTATTTTAAAAACAAATTTACCTATTAGATTAAAAATCAGTTTAAGTTTGTTACCATACTAACTAAAAAGACCTTAATTTCTATATCTAGTATCAAAACTTCACGAATAACTTTTTACAAGTACAGAATTTCAAAATAAAAATTCTATTCTTTTTTCTTGAGGCAAAACTATTCTAAATTAGGTGCTGATTCCCCCCCCCCTCTTTCATAACACAAGGGTATTAGGAAACAAGCAGAAATGCTCAATTATCCAGATAAAATTACCAAACCTATTCTGGGATACCACGTAGCCTTGAAATAATCCATAAAATCTGATTGATCAACAAAATCTTCCATAAAATCTTCAAAAAGGGACACAGTTCCCTGACCCCTGCATATTTTGTCCACTATCTGTCCAAGGTGTCTTGATATTTCAGCTTGCATCTCAGTGTCTAAACACTTCTTCACTATGTTTTTATGCAATGCATGACGAACCCTCCAGAAGCTTATCAATACTGAACACTGAAAAACATCCCTGAGAAATATGTAGGAAAGATAGATACTCAAGACTCAAATTTTAATGAAGAAAGAGAAATCATTCCTCAAACTTGTATAGAAAACCATGAAAAAGCTTCAAGAGCCATAGAGCTTCATATCTGAATTAGTCATCAGCATTAGTACAAACATAAATATAAATCATCTGGAACATATCTCTTGACTAGGACAAGAGGACTCGGTTATAGTTACAGTTTCACCCATTTTCTAGTCCTAGTAACTTATATATGTATAAACTTAACTCTTATTGTTGGAACTTACAAAATGAAAATGAAAAGCATCAATTTTTGGTTCAATAGAAAATAGAACACACGAAGCATTGACTCCACAAATGGAAACAGTGAAAAGAGGAGCATCTACACCTGTTACCCAATGATAAAATTCAACTACGGCTGTATGCAGCAGTAGTCACAAGTTTCATGCAGTGCATTCCAAAGCATCCAATATTTATAAGCAGGCATCAATTATCAATAAATTTCTTCCCTCCTTAACGTTGCAAAATGTCAAACACAAACTACAATTTATTCTCCAACTATTTGGAAGTTTAAATGTGCTTAACTTCAGCAGAAAATTTGAAAAAAAAAAAAACTGTATTACACAACCAACCTGATTGCAAGGACATCACACAGAGGATCATCTACAATAAAGCCAGCCAACTTCCACGCAGGATCTTTAGTATGGACTCTATTGTAGAGTGCCCTCATCCATCTATGTGAATCCAAACTTGAAAATCTTGGTGTTATTATCCAAGCCACGGGTATGGCCTTCTTGTCAGAGTTGAATACTAGAAGACTGTGAATGGGGTACTGGATGAATTTGAAAATGTGCTTCCAGTTAGTATCTGCAGACTAACAATTTATGATAACATTTTTCAAGATTTTCATCAAATCAAAGAACAAAAATCAACAAACCTTCAATTTGTTTGTACCAAATTTTGAATCTGACACAAGGAGACTACGGTTGCCAAATCTAATCATTTGCTGCAATTGCCACTCAGTTTGAATGCCTAAAGTGAAAGGGTCTGAATCAGAGAAATCTTCATAAAAGAATACATGATTCCGGTGGGTTTCAACCCACATGGTGATACTGACAGAATCATCAGAATCTAGTTCATATGTAGACCGGCGTATTGCCCGCTCTTGCCGTCGAACATAACGATGGGTTAAAAGGTCATCACGGTTAGATGGGCCGCCTTGTCTCTCCACTGTTTCATTGTGCCTTTGCATAATGGTCTCCACAGAAACTCCAACATATAGAAGAGATAACACACGAAGCCTTAGATCTTCTGAGATGTATGGAGCAAACATAGCTCGAGTTCCAGCAGCCATCTTGTCCTGAGGACCATGGCATGGCAACCCCTTTTTATCCACATGCTTATCATCATTAAAAATGATGAGGGCAACCGAGGGTTCAGCTATCAGGCGTTTCACAATAAAGTGACAGGTGCAACCTCTCTTAGTATTTGGTCGGCCAGCATTTTTTTTCTTTGGGACATAGGTACTCCGACTGGGCCGTACAATGCCACCTTTCCTGTGGTCATCAGGACCAAAGGAACACCAATACCTACATACCAATAATATAATCTAAACACATGAGATAGTAGAAGAAGCAGGAGCATGAACTTAGAGTTGTTTAACAAAGAATTTTGTAACTTACAGAATATATTCTAGTATGCCATCAACCTTTGGCTTGTAAGGCATTGATGGAGGCCTCCGACGTCTGGCTTCAACATGAAATCGTGTTGGACAGTCTTTATTGGAGGATTCACCCCGAACAAAATCATCAACTCTAGCAAATGGGATTAAAGCTACTCTATCTAATTTGTCATGCCAACCTTCAACTTTTGACCATACTAGATCAACAGAAGAAAACTCCAACGTAGGAGGATTTTGTACAGGAAGAGATAGAATAGCATCCCACCTAGCCATTATTTTATGGAAGCCAAAGATAATTTGCCTGTATGGAGATTATTAAGAACTTAAGCATTACTAAGCAATGGATTGAGCAGGTTTTACGTGGTCCAATAGACCAATACCCAAAAGAATCATAATCAGCATTAATAAAATGTTCCAAACATCCATTACCATGAAAGTTATCATCATCAAAATTTAAAAGCACCAATGAAAGAACGAGGGCCAAAATTCTTTTAATTATTGATTGTTAACGTAACTTTCAAGTTTTAAGGAAGTCAGGCATTCAGATAAGATCTTATCTATTTGAAATGCAAACACGTGAGCATCGACGGACCTATACTAGCCACTGAAATCTTTGAAATATGCATAGTCGATATGATAACCCCATTAATTTTTGCTCCAGATGCTTTGGCACAACTTGAGTCAGGTCATTTACAAGACCATACACCACAAATACATTGAGAATTTTCCAAAATTGATGATAAGATAAAAAAAAAATTATTAAACAGAATGCCAATACACAATAAATCCAGCATTGAAAAACAACACAATCCAAATCATACAAGTCGCTAGTAATCAAAATGAAGAGGGAAGAAGTATCATAGCCAATTACACACCATTCTAGCAAAACTAGTACCCAAAAAAAAAAAATCAATCTGTAAATACTCCCAAATTCGGAAGCGTCATTATTCAAACAATTACACGACTAGATTCAAAGTCAAATTAAAATGAAAAGTTTAAAACAAAGCAAGAACAGCCACACAGGGAACAGATGACGCGGGAAACAAATTCAGTTCTAGATTCAAAGCCAGATTGAAAAAAAATTAATGTCACCCGATTTTGGTCTTAGAAAATGCCCTATGCTTCGAACCTTCTTCACTGCTTGCCCGAGAACAACCACGCAGGGCTGACAAAGGTGGACGGCGTGCGACAGAGTGTGGAATACTTCTTCGCCGACAAAGAGAAATGAATCCGCCGTCTCGAGAATGCGTTTTCGTCGGGGGTTACAATTAATTTTAGGAAGAATTTGGTACTAGTCGAAAATTAACTAAAAAGTAATTACTTTAAAATTTAAATAATAAATTCTCCCTCCTTTATTTTTTTTTTTAATGCTAAAGTCTAAAATCTCCCTCCTTTATAATTATTACAGTTGTTTTTCATTATAGTTCTACAGTAGTTAAGGTATACACAAAAAGTTAAACTAATTTATTAAAATATGTGAGGCCCGCAAGGATTGGTATATATTGGGTGGCCCAAATGAAATCCTCATATCAATGTAATGGGTGATGATGTTTTTAATTTTTTTTTTATTTGCATGTGTGTCTTTGATTTTTTTTATTTTTTATGTGAGTCTAGAAAAAATTGGCCGCCTCGTTTAGATATTACAGTTAAGCATTTTTTTTTTTTTTTTGCTGGGTAACAGAGAAGAAGAAGAAGAGACTGTCCTCCCAATGTCAATCCAACCGACTGAGATAAATTTGTCAAGTGACAGAGGATTCTTAAGTGATTTTTAAAACTGCTACAATTTATAATTATAATAGCTAAAACCATCACAATTCAGGTTCGAAAACAGCTGCTATATTTTTTTTTTATAATTCCTCCTTTTAATCAGATTATTGTGGCTTGATTTAATTTTTCAAAACACACACACACAATCTATTTTTTTATTTTAAATTATGTTTTTAATTAGATTGGATTTATATATTAATTTTAATATTATTATTTTATTATTGTATTGTATTATAGTTGGTACATTATCTAATATTTAAAAGACTTATTTTTAAATATGCTTTTAAATTAGGCCATGCTTTATGTAAATTCAAACATGAGTTATGAAAAAAGCTTTATAAATGCTTTAAATTAAATTTAAACCTCTAACTTATCACATAAGTTCAAACTTATTTGACAAAAATCTAGCTTTTTTTTTTAACCAACTGACGAAAACGCTTGACTTAACCTATTTTTACTCCAAGCTCCAAGTCATGTATCTACTCTCTTTTTCATTTTTTATCGCGTTTTCCTGGTCCTAAAGCGTAAGTTTTTCATATCAATTTCACATTTTCTCACTACATTTTGATATCTGTCAAGAGGAGCACTGCTCTGGATTTAGTTATACCTTAAAATTTTTGTATCATTGTAGATTTAAAAATTTGAAAAATAAAATTTAAAATTGGATAAAATAATTTTCAATTATATTTTCATTTCATTATTAACATATACTGAAAATTATATAAATATTATGTTTTATTATATATAAAGATTTTCTTACAAATAATAAAGTTATTATTGTCCATATAAAATCCATCCATGGCTTCTCTACCTGACACCAGCTCTCATCATTGTCTTCCTCTTCACCTTCAACTCTCCTTAATGCTTCCTCCAAGCTTCTCCTCCACGCCACTCTCCTTGTTTCTCTCATCCTCGTCTTCCTTTTTACCTTCTTCTTTCTTCTGAGATTTGATGGACAACAAAAATGTTTGGTGGTGGAGACTATGGACCTGTAATTACAAAAGCTTTTATTTGCTCTTCTAGTGGGGTCTTCAATCACGCCTTTATTTTCCTTGCCATGACCAAGTTACATGGAGGAGGAATCATGCATTACCTATGAGACGATGCCAATGGCTGATCAAGCATAATAATAATAAAAAAAAGAAATTTAATATATCCTCATTTGTAAAGTCCACATAAAAAAAAACAAAGAAAAGAAAAGAAAAGAAAAATGTGTCATTCTATTGTTAAGAGTAGGGTTGTGTAAAAGTTCTCTAATCCTGTCCGACTTAATCTAACCTAAGATGATCCTGTCTTGTCTGGTCCTTATAAACATTGGTCTTCAGGACCAAAAAGACTAAAAAAATTATATTATTTTTTCATATTGAATTGAATAGGAGACTGGACATCTAAACCACTTGAGCCAATCCAATCCTATTAATTTATTTAATATAGTTATAATTAATTTATTTTTTAACAAATGCTTCAAGTGTAATTTATAATAAGAAAATGATTGTATGAAGATTTATTGAGTTTGTTTTTAAATTATTGTTGTAATATAGTGTTGTTAAAATTTGTTGGGTGTTGTTTTTGTTGAAGTTATAAATTTAAATCATTTATATTGTAATTGAAATATTTTTTTCTTGTTGAAAATTATTTTGAATTTATTATGATTATAAGTGATCCTATTATCTTAGCTAAGTCTATTAGGTTAAAATGAATTATTATCTCTCATAAAGAAAAAGGTAAAAAAAAATGCTAAGTAAATACTAGATTAATAGGACCAATCTTTCAGTCTTATGAAATAAGTTCGATCTTATTAATCTTAAAGTTATTAATAGACAAGATTGAAGTATGAGTTATCTAACTCAATTCTTTTTATAAAAAAACAGACTTTAAATTAGATCAAAGTGATAGTACCGTTCAGTCCTTTGTACGGTCATAATCAAGAGTATAAATCTCTGTCGCTATCGAGAATAACGGGGGAGAATAAAGAGATGATCGATCAGCGTGGGTTCGGGGCTAGTGTCGATTTTTTGGTAATGGAATGACAAGCACGTTGTGGTCAAATTAAAATCTGAATATTGAAGGACCAGGTTGGCACCGAAGGGAAGATGAGAGGGTTAGAGAAAGAAGATGAGATCGGGAAAGAAAGAGAAGGTACAGTAAAATTCTATTGGGCCCTACAATAAAATTAACGTCTACTTGATCAAACTTAACAGCAGGTGTTGGACATTTCATTTTAAATAATTGATAATTTATTTTATATAATACCATAACTTTATCAACTAAAAAGTTAACTAAATATCATGGTAATAAAAATATTTAAAACACCAAAAATTATTATAATGGTATAAAAGTTTAAAACTAATGCTCAAGTTTTTTTAAGGTAACCATGATAGAAAAAATTGATCTAAATTTTAAAGAGCTATCATAGTTATAAAAAGATCTATCTAATAAATATATACTTATAAAATAACCTTAGTAAAAAATTATTAAATTAGTTCAATAGGGCTACCAAAATTGTAAAAGTTAGAGGTTAATATATAATTTTTTCATAAAGTGTATATAAATATATAGGCTTATTAAGGTTTGCAAATGCACGTGTCACATCTCATAATAAATACTCAAATAAGTACTTCTGAGTAAAAGTCTCAATATCAAAGTGTTCTAATAAAATATTTACTCCAAATAAATTGATCGCAAAAAAATTATAATTTAACAATGAATCCCAAATGACACATAAGTTCTAAATTAACATTGATTATTCTACAAATTAAAATGAGAACTCAAGGTTTACTCAAGATAAGCCTTAAGCTTCTAAATGCTTCCCTTCACTCTGCTAGACTTACATAAAAATGTCAAAGAAATGATAATCTACTACTTGATTGTAGAAACTTAATGGTTCTTAACATGACCTGACTTTTGTCTCTCTTGCACGGCTTTGCCGTGACCTTATATTCAAAAAAAATATGTTAAAAAAGGAGTTGAGCATTAATGTCTCAGTAATTCAAAGTTTTAGCATATATGCACATACTAACAACTACATATAAATAAGATTACATGCATACATATAATTTCATCATCATTATTAAATTATGAGCATAAAAATTCACAAGACATCATTCATAATAGTTATATGTAATATATGATCATATGAAAAATAGGTAACCTCCTTACTGCTCTGTCCAACCTTATATCGCTAACTAAAACCATAAGCTTATCCATAATCTAACCCACAAGCTAGACTAATTAAAGTATCTCTAAAGCTCAAGATATGCCCAATCAAAGGTACAAAGTCCAAGCTCCAGACTATAACTCTCCTCCTTAAAAAACACAATCAGGAGTTGTTACTATCCCATGTTCTTCCTTTACAAACTTGACCAAGTAAGTATTAGGGAATGGGGCACTAAAAAACAAAGGCCAACCATTACACGTGAAGTGGAGGGATCACAATTGTGCGTGCTTATGTAAACATCCACATCCACATCATCAACATATTTCTGCAACCATCACAATGCATTCAAAAAAGTTTTAAAGGAAATATAGTACCTCAGATACTTATGGCAAATCACAAACATGCTTGATAGAATTAAAGTAACTCATTAGATTCTAATATTTCACAATCACATCATTTACTATTTATCATAAAGTTTGTATAGATGTATCATACTTAATTAGACAAGATTATACTAGAACATACTTTTATAAATCACCACAGTAAATATAGTTGGTATACACATGGAAAAACCTTGAGTTATCTAGTCTCCATAAGCTTAAAAGTAATTACTTAGCAAGAATTTAAATAGTAAGAGCTCTTAGTAAAAGTATACATAAGTCACACATATACAATAATATTATATATATATACACACAACTTAAAACTGCTAAAAAATTACTCCAAAGCTACTCTAAAACCTTAAAGTTATCTTGGAAAATCCAAAATGCTCTTTTAAATTTGTATTCCTTTTCATGAACTGGTTTTTCTATATTTATAACTAATAAATCTTTTATAGGTTCACAACATTAATTTAAAGTCTCTATTCCTTTCAAATCTTTACTTTAAACCTCAAACCTTACTCTAAGAATTCTCAAATCATATATACAATTTATATCTAGATATTAAACATTCTAAACCTCAAAACAGATACAAATATATTACCAAACTAACAACTATAAACTAAAAGACCAAAAAAAAGAAATATGCCTCAACAGATTACATCCTAAATTTTTCATCCTCAATAATCTAAAAATTAAGAAGATAGATAAATAGAAATAAAAATTTAGAATACTTACCTTGCATTAAAAAGCCTTACATCACCCTTAAAATATATGATTGAACCTAAACTCTAAAATATTTCACAGATTTGGGCACTTTCTTTCATTCTTTCTCTGGTGTGCTGCAGGAAATATGAATTGTGTAGTGTGTGGGTGGGTTAGGTTTGATTAATTTCATTTTTTTCGTATTACATATATATTTATTTAGCTATTTAGTTTTATATTTCACATACATA